ACCAGTTATGGACCGCACCTGAACTTTTACGCAGCGAAGAACATCTGCGGTCCCGGAACGGCACCCTCAAGGGCGACATCTACAGTTTCGCCATTGTCTGCCAGGAAATCGTCTACCGCAAGGGTGTTTTTTACGTTCGCAACGAGAATCTTGAGCCGAAGGTAATTATCCGCCCTCCCTTCTGTTAAAATGGGTGTAGTTGACCACCTTACCGCCTCTCGACGCTATTGTCTATGGGAATGTCTGAAAACTCAGTGTGCCTGCAGGTCGCAGGTGGTAATTGACCGAAAACACTTGTTGCACCGACAATTTCCTACAGCACTGAGGTGCAAGACTGAAATCTCCACGCATGTCTCCTGCGCAGCAGTTTATGGTTCCAGAATGTGGTCAGGTGACGATGGATGCAGTCATTTTGAGAGCAGTGAATGAGTCGTCACATTTTAATCTTGCTGTTGTAGTGGCTCAGTCGTGATTGTGCTTAGAGTACTACAGTCGTCAGTCCAAACCCCCAGGTGGAAGGTAAAATGTTGAAACCACCATTGGGAGGTATTTATTGTTCACAGAAGCCTGTATTGCTGTCTCAAGCAGCAGTGGCCGCTGGCGAAGCCAGGGCTGTTGTTGGCTGGATTCAGTCGTGCCCGAGGGTGTGACTTTGTCTGTGTGGGAGAGAGATTACAGTTGCTTTTACATGATTGTGCTGTCAGTTCAATTGGTGTGCTATTGGTGTGTTGCATTGTCCGAGGGGGTGTCTCCTGTAGAGGCCTGGCTGGGTGGCGGCATATTCTATTGGCCTGCCTGTGTGCGCACGTGTGTTTTCGAGTAGATGTCAGTCAAGAGTCTTGAGCTCAGCATGACTTTGGGGCAGCGGGCCTTGGAGAACGAGGAGGTGACAGCATTAGTGGCCGTCCGCCACATTATGACTGTGACCTCTATATACATGAAACAAGTTGTCTTAACAGGGGGCCAGTCATGCGTGAAAGTATTGCTGCTGTTTAATCATCCAACCCGAGAACTAGCCAATTTCGCTCTCAGCATTCGCTGACCGCTGTCGTACTATTCGCCACGCGACGCGGCGGATGAAACGTAGCTATACTAACAGTCGGTTCCCGTCCTCCCGTCACCATTTCATATGTCTTATTGGTTGTGGAGTACCACGGTATTAAGTTGGCCTTCTTCAGATGATATTATATTGCACTCTTTGTGGCTTTTCCATGAACTTTTCTGACAGGGTGCCGCCCTACTGAATGTTATGACTACATTATCTAAGCCATTTGCGCTATCACTTAGAAATCTTTTGATTTGGGTATTATTTTTCACCAAATAAACGTCGAGCTATAGTTTATGTGTTCTGAGAACAAGTTTTGTTCTCATGGAAAACTCACTGTCCAGGTTTTTTAAGTTTAGCCGTATGTAGCCATGGACGCCATCCCGCCTTAAAAAGTTTCTGTGATTCCAATCGGCTGATTGTATGAAATCACAATTTTTGCTGATTTTTTTCCTTTCATCGGCCCTTTGTTGTAATTTGTGTGCCTTGTTTAGTAATTTTAAAGCAAAAATTCTCTTTGCCGTATAGTTAGTTGCTAAACATTCAATTCTACAACATACTTTTCCTATTTAATCTCAAGTTTTTAGCAGCATTTTTAATCCGTCTTGCAGAAAAAAAACACATTTCGCTTGTGACTGTTAGCGAAAGCAGACGGAGGTTGTACGCATTTATTTGCATATTATCGGAACACATTTAAGGGTTAAGTTGTGGTGAGCATGAACGAAGTAGTTTAGTTTATTTTGGGGGTAAGAGGCGATGCCTACAAAAAGCGGTTTGCCGCATGATGCTAATAATTAAGCAGGTTCGCGTGTGACCGCTAAGAATTGCGATGTTTATAGTACTGATATAGTTTCAGTAGCACTGTTATCGTACTGTTGAGATAGTGATGAAAATCTGGTTTTTGAGACCCTTCGTTTAGCAGGATTTTGATAGGACCGTAACGGCAGTATATCCGGGCAAAACCAAATAAATTGGCCACCCCATAATGGGAGCGGATTGCACGAGCATCCCATTTACCCAAAGAAGTGGCCTCATGTTGAGAAAATCCAAAGTAACGACTGATGGGTCGGGGTGATTCAGAGGAATAGAATGTAGAGAGGTGAGGATGAATTTGGCCATAATACAGTAGTCGCCGGCTATTGAGCCCATCTCGGGCCCAGACCAAATTGGGCTTAATAAGCGGCGGGCGGACTAACCGGAG